CTTCATTTGCTCCTGTGTGCCCTGATCAGACATGTCCCTCTCCCTGAACTGTAGCTTCAGTGCCGTCCTCTGAAGTGCATTCTTCTGAGGGGAGGGGCGGCTGTCCACATAGTTGGGATTGGGGCCGGCCCCTCCCCAGTAGGTTTTCTGAGTTTCAGTTTCTATGTATGGAACATATGGTGTGTTTTGAAGAAAAGTCCAGGTGCTCTGGAAAAGAATATAGTGTGCTGTTGTTGTGTCAGGTGTTCTATCTCCATGAAGCCAAGGTTGTTGATTGTGTTTTTAGTACTTTTGTGTTCTTACTGAGTTTTTTCCCAGTCGTTCTATCCTCCATTAAAAGTACTGTGTAGAAGTGTCCTACTATTATCGTCGAGTTGTCTATTTCTCCTTCGATCCTGTAAGAATTTGATTCATTCGTTTTTAGACTCATTGGGTGCTCAGATATATATTATGGCTATGTCCTCTTATTCAATTGACGCTTCAGTTATTATATAATATCACTGTTTGTCTCCTTTTGCTGGATTTTGCCTTAGAGTCTATATGATCAGAAATGTATACTACCACTCCTGCGCTTTTTGATTGTCATTAGCTTAATTTTTTGTTAAGGCTATGTTTGTCTTTGTGCCTCAGGTATATCTCCTGTAAACTGCAGATTGGTGAGCCCTGCTTTAAAACCCACGATGCCACTCTTTCTCTTGCCTGGTGTGTTTAACCTGTTCTCGTTGAGTGTACTTTTTGATAGGTCTGGATTTACTGCTGTCGTTTTGCTGTGTGTTTTTTGGTGGTGTGGCCGGTTTCTTTATTCCACACCCTTTTCTGTGCTGAGTTTCTTTTGTTCGTGGGGTTTCTCATTAGTTTCTTCATTGTTTCTTTACAAGCATGCAACATGCATGTGCCAGAAAATGCCAGCTAACGACGCAGAACACAGAAATATGCATGTACCAAAGCCTGAAAAGTGGCATACTGTTTCAACTATTATAAAATTGATACAAAGTAGCACTAACAGTGAGAAAATCATGCACCAAAAAGACTTAACAGTGGCTGAAGCGGCTAGATTTTGCCACATTTAACGTGACGTGTGAAAGCTTCAGGTTTCACTCCCATCCCAGAGAGTAAAAATCATCCCCCAGATGGTGTGAGGTTACCCTTTGAAACGTTTTCCAAGAGTATTTCTGTCCCCGGGACTTTGGGAGTGTACCGGGTTCTTGGGTGGCACAAACAGCTTGCTCTTAGCGGCTCATGGAGATGCTGGTATACACATCCACCCAGAGGTGCCTCAAAGGACAGGTCTGCACGCCTGCTTCTCCATCAGCCAGTGAAACCCATAGGACCCACAGCAGCCTGATTAGCAACCAGTGGTGGCCCTGAAATTGCACAGGGCTGGGCAGCATTTTGTTCCATTGTATATGGGATAGCATAGGGGATTATATGTTGGGCTGCCAAGCGCAAGGTCGGCAGTTTGAAGCCGCCAACTGCTCTGTGGGAGAAAGGTGAGCGTTTATACTCCCAGAAAGAGTTACAGTCTCTGTAATGCACATGGTGCCTCTGCCCTGTAGGTTCACTGTGAGTCGGAATCGACTTAGGGCAATGAGTTTTGAGTTTTTGCATGAGTACAAGGTGCTGACATGAGCAGTGTTGTTCATAGCTCACCAGCAGAGGGCGCTGTTCCATAACAGATACAAGGTGGAGGCATTCAGCAACCACGCCAGTTTTCCAGATTTGAAATGCTGGTCGAAGAACATACTGAAATACCTACAGCTGTCTCTGTGCTTTAGGAAGGTGTGCACTATCTGCTCACTTGGCCATTTACAAATCTGTGTTTCCCTGACTGTCAAAGGCTAAGAAGATAGAAACCCTGCCCGGTACAGCACATACCAAGAGCATCCTGTACTCTTGTGTTAATGAACTGACTGCTAGTGGGTAGGGGGGCTTTCTGTTCTAAAACTCCACAAAATAAAACTTTTTCCCCCCACCTAGGTGGAAAAGGATTACTCTTACCTGAAGGAGATCTGTGATCATCAAGCAGAGCAGTTGAGCAGAACCAGCCTGAAACTGCAGGAGAAAGCATCAGAGAGTGACGCAGAGATAAAAGACATGAAGGAAACCATATTTGAATTGGAAGATCAGGTGGAACAGCATCGAGCCGTCAAATTACATAATAACCAAGTCATTAATGAACTGGAAAGTAAGTGAGCCTAGCAGTGCCTTTAACGTGGAGCCAGGTTACCAGAGAAAAAAATAATAGCTGTAACTACAGAAAGGTGTGTACGCCTGTATGCTGCCTGGCGGTTTTGAAAAATTCCTACCTTTGAGAGTGGCCTGTCATCTTTCAGGAAGAGTTGCCCTAATGAAAGACTGAGTCGTAAGTCTTTTCAACTAAATTAGAAACTGGGCAGCTTGGGGGAAAAGATGGTTGGGACCGTGGACTGCCACAAGTCGAACATGAGTCAGCCATGCAGGGTAATTACTAAAAAACAAGCAAAATGCAGGTGCATGTTTGAATGTGCATGAGCCAGGTTACTGCTGTGTCTAGAAAAACCTAACTGAGTTTGAGGCAATGTGTTATGATACTTCAATTGTGACCGTTTGATTGTTCCAAAGGACAATCCATAGTTTTTAGAGGTTTCTCAAAAAGAAACTGTTCACCGCAGCCCTGGTAGAGCAATAGTTAAGTGTTTCCGTGGTAGAAAGATGTGGTGGCTGGCTTCTATATAGATTTCAGCCTAGGTAACCCTGGGGGGCAGTTCTGTTCTGTCTCATGAGATCACAGTGAGTCAGTTCTGGGTCACCAGTAAACAGCAACAACCACAACTACACAGTCAGCAAATCCTAAAAATGCATCATCTTTTGGATCTGACAGGGAGAAAGATGGATGCAAGATGTCAGCTGGGTACCCACGGTGTGTACTCTTGGTCTCTCACAGAAAACAATTCCAGCATGTGCCCTATTGATGGGAGGAGATCAGATCTAGATGGTGAACATTGCCTGCAGTGTTCAAATAAATAAGCCTTATCAAATGATCTCAGCTGATGTGTTTCACTCTTGTAATAAAGGACAATGAGTGCACAAAGCTTGTAGTGTCACAAGCCATCACTCAAAGTAGCTTAATCAGCTGTCCAGAAAGTTCTGCAGCACGCATAGTCTACACTTTGATGAATTGGTAAGCACCTGGGTTGCTGGTACCTGGCCCATTCTTTATTAGAAGTGATATGTCAGACTCTTCTCAAAAGTCATCCTCAAGAACACACTAGACAACCCAGATGTACATTTCTAAACAGGGTAACGTACTTTAAGGGAATTAAGTCAGGAGGAGATGTTCTGTTTTTTTGGTCGTGTTTTGTTTTAGTGAAAATTTTCCTCTTGAGAATTGATTGGGTGGTTCCCAGATCTTGAAAGTTGGCAGAGGCATGTGAAGAAATTCAGTGTATGACTACTCTCCAGAACAAATTTTAGGCCTACTCCCTCACCATAGTTCTTTTGTTAGGGATGTTAAAGTATCATAATAATCATTATTAATTACATTAGAAGGTCTTTTAGCGACAAGCTCCTGGTCTAGACTAATCATTCCATCCCATGAGATCCTTGAGAGAAATGGACAGAAAAATCAAGGAGGTTTTGCGGGGTTTTCTAAGTCTGTAGCATAGTACCCAAACAGGGTGTTACAGGACACCCCAGCCACCTGAGTAGGACCACGTGTACTTTTTAAAGTTTCTTGACTATTCTAGTTCACTTCTTTTACATACCATGGCTGCTCCAAAATAGACTATGGGGCACCACAGAATAATTTTAACTAGGAAAATAAGATGATCTGATTTAAACGACTGACAGCAAGATATGGGGAACAACTTTAAAATGGAGACGATGAGAATTGAGATACTGAAGATGTTGTTCACTAGAGAAAAGGAGTCAGGCCACTTTAGAGTCTGAGTGGTGCAAATAGCTAAACACTCAACTGCTAGCCAAAGGTTTGTGGTTCAGACCCACCCAGAAGTGCCCTGCAAGTCAGGTCTCATGATCTGCTTCCCAGTGAGCAAGGCCTTGAGACCCCTGTGGAGCAGTTCTACTCTGCACCCACTGGGTTCCCTGAGTTGGAATCCACGTGACAAAGGTAGCCATTAAGCCACCTGTAAAAGTGCTTTCAAAGTTAAGTCCGGACTCTCTCTACCTTGGGAGACTCATTGCAATCCGGATATTTGAAAAGCTTCCTCAGTCATGATGAGGGTTAAGAACCACTGTCCAGACGCTGGTCTGAAAGATCACAGTTGCAATAACTAGTCATATCCTCTGTGTCATGAAAGTCTTTGATTTCACAACCTAGAGAGGACATTCAGGAAGACTGTGTGAATGGTAGGGAGGCCAAGAGAACGGCTGTTTTCCCCCACAGCCCTGCCTGGTTGTATAGCTTGTCACCTGAAGATATAACCTAAATAAGCACCATTTATTCTTAATATCATCACATCCTCAATCTTGGGGGAGCTCCTGCTCTAACTCCCAGTTTGCAGAGCATTAAAAATGGGAGTTGAGGGTAGAACTGGTGGATTGTAAAGCCTGTGACAGTATCCAGGGCGGATTCTTTGCCTCCTTTATCCCACCTTCTCCCCAGTGTCTCACAACTCTTCCAAATTCTGTCTGGCTTGTTTATTTCTAGATAATGTACTGAAGCTGGAGGAACAGAAGTCAGACCTGGAGAGGCAGCTAAAGACTCTGAATAAGCAGATTAAGGTGAGATGTGGATTGCAGCAGTGTGTACATTATCCACAGCTTAGGGTTAGAAACCTTCCAACAAATAAAAAATACCCCATGACCTTTTCCGATCTATTTTCTCATAGTACATTCCCTTATCATCAGCCCAGAGCCATAAATGTGTATGGTGGTGGCAGAAAGGAACAGTAAAGCACTTCCGTTTCAGGATGGAGAACTTGTTAGCACGAAGGTGGGCACTTCCACCTCCCTGGAAGTGAGCTTACATGAAAGCAGTCCTTCACTAAGTTTTGCCCGGGCTGCACATTCTCATTGCTCAACATGGGGGTTGGAAGGCCAATTGGCAGTCCAGGTACCAGCATTGGCAGGCATCTGATGGGGTTTGGATCTGGGTCCCCAGGAAGATACTGAGGAGTGGAGGCGGTTCCAGGCTGACCTGCAGACTGCCGTGGTGGTGGCCAACGACATCAAGTGTGAGGCCCAGCAAGAGCTTCGAACTGTCAAGAGGAGGCTGCTGGAGGAAGAGGAGAAGAACGTGAGGCTGCAGAAGGAGCTGGGCGACATCCAGGGCCACAGCAGGTTGGTCACGTGCAGGGCTGCACCTCTGTGGGTCTGACGGGCACCCAAACATTGCTGGCTGCTCACTTAATAATCACTGTGCTTGGGGCTTCGTTGTCTACATGCGATGCTTTTCTGTCTGTGTGCGCCAGATGCGATTGTTTCTTTCCAAGGCTCACACTCCCACCACAGCCTGATTGACAACATACCAGGGCTTGGTCAGTGCCATTCTGATGGAATAGCTCTTCACTTTTCTACAGAGCAGCCAAGTTCCAGCTTAGCCTCCTCCTAGGTGTGAAGGATGGAAGCAGCGTCTAGCATGTTCCTTAAATCTTAGCCTTGACAAGTGTAGGTACTTCAAGAGGCAGCAGCAATACTTTGCATAGGCAACTCTTATGCAAGGGAATTGACCCCAGACAGAGGACTCCGTCTGGGGCATGCTGCCTTGTTGGCAGTACTCTGGCACTATTTTCAAACTTTTTTCAAACCCACTTTTATGATTCAGGATTCTCCCTTAACACAGTGCCTGAACTGAACTCCTTTGTAGTGAAGTTTAAGAGGAAGGTATTCTTAAAAGTGAGAGAACCCCTGCATGATACAAACCATGAATGTGCTGGACGGCTGTGTGATAGGTTGGAGGTGTGAAGCATCTTGGGAAAAGGCCTGGCAATCTACTTGCCAAAAAAAAAACGAGTATTGAAAACTGTCGGAAGTACAGTTCTACTCGGACGTAAACGGGGTTGCCGTGAATCAGAATCGGCTCAATAGCAATTGGTACTAGTATTCTTAAAGTGAGTGAGCTGAAGGTTCACGATGACTTAAAATTCAAATTGTCTGCAAACAAAACTTAGGCTATCCCTTAAGTAGACTTGCCTTTCTTCAGTCAAGAACAAGTGGCCTCAACTTTGGGATTTGGGATATTAGAAAATTATTTTGACTTTTCAGACGCCTCTCATATTTGAAATGGCTTTTAAAATAAAATTTAGGGGGTTCTGAATGCTGGTTTATAATAGTTACATGTTTTTAAAGCTCAGAGTATAGTTTGTTGGCTAGATTCTGAGCTGTTGGGTCCATGGTGTTGTGTTATCATGACTTTCAAGATATTCAAAGGAACAGATTTCTTCTCAAAATTCTGGATTCTTCTATTGAATTTGCTCCAAACAGACCCTCACTCCTTTGTTTTATGACTCTTCTATTGAATAGACTATAGAGAAGGAGTAAGCTACGATGTGTAGCTGGTTCCACAGTTTACTTTTGAACACCTGGGCCCTTATTTTATGGTCTCACCCCTACCCTCTGTCCACCAAAGGATGCCACGAGGAGCATGGAAAAGTAGATTACTTACGGCTCCTTATTGAAAAATGGTTGTGAAGTCATGTGAGTGGGGTTTTATATCTGCCTCTGCTGTTTGTCTTGCTTCCATATTCTGTGATTTCAGAAGAAGAACCAATCAGAACTTCCATTGCTTCATACATGCATTATGAGTCCTGAGTTTAAGTGATGGCGCTAGCCGGTTATTGTATGAGATGAGATATTTCTTATATAGATCCTAAGATACAGGCATACTTTGGATATCTTATCAAGAGAGACCAGTCGCTGAAGGACATCATGCTTGGTACAGTGAAGGACTCCCGCCAAGATGGATTGACACAGTGGCTGCAACATTGGGTTCAGATATGAGAACAATTGTGAGGATGGTGCAGGACCAGGCAGTGTTTCCTTCTGTTGTGCATGAGGTCACTATGAGTTTGGCCTGACTCGATGGCACTTCACAACAACAAAAGATATAGGCCAAACTGTACAACTTGAACTCTGACATCTTAGGAAATGTCTGCATGTGCCCAGACAAATTAGGGCTTCCGATGTTATATCCTGTCAGATTGTTTATCTGTTTTATTTTACAGTGATTTATGAACCCAAACCCAACTCCAGCAGTTTAATCCTTGTTCACAAAACGTTTCACAAATTCTAGGAAACGACACTAATCCAGAACACGGGATGTTACTGAACACCCTCAGTTATCAGTGTTTCTACTCTGACTTGGCGCGACTTTGTCTAGATGCCCATTCGAATAATAAAGTACTGACTATTTGAAAGTTACTTGGCCCTGACTACACCGCTTCTTAAAATTACATCTTGAGATGAACTAAAACCAGGACGAAAGCTACTCCCTCGCATTTCCATCTTGGCTGAATGGGTGCTGGACCGAAACTTGGTTTAGTTTGAAAGCCGCCCCATAAGAAATCAAAAGTCATTCTTGATTCAGCCACAGCCAGAATCATAGTGGAAAATTAAAATTCCCTGATGAGGTCCTGAGAGAAAGTAAAACTTTCGAAAAGCACCGTGATTGTAACATGGAATTGACAAATTCCTTTTCTGATTTTGCATAGATAGGTATTTGAGGAAATCTTAGTTATATAGTCAGGCTGATAGATGGGCAATTAAAATACCCGATTTTGAATAGAAATGAGCATTTACTACAAGGAAATTAATAGCTTAAAAAAAAAGAGTGGACTGTTATATAACTTAGCATTTCAGAAATTCTAAAAATTAATTCCTTATTGGTCTTCCTTAAAATAAACTAAAACCTTGGTGGCTCAGTGGTGTTGACTGTTTTAAAGCCCACCAGCACACCTTGGAAAGAAGCTCCGGCAGGCTGCTTCCATGAAAATTCCAGCCTCGGAACCTCTACGAGGGAGCTCCGCTCTCTCCGGTCAGGCCAGCTATGAGTCTGAGAGACTGCATGGCAGTGGGCTTAGTGGTGTTTCTGGTCACACTTTCAAAGGTAATTTTATTCCAGGGCAGTATGTCTGATGATAACATACACGAGGGACCTAGAATTAGGCGATAGTCTCAGTGCCAACCATCTTATCTTTCCAACATTCTTTGACTCACTTTGCTCGCGTATATTGCCTGTCTTCCTGGATCTGTCTTGTTCGTTCACAACTCTGACCAGTCCACTGTGATTTTTATGGACCTGAAAGTTTCATGGGACATGTATGATTTAATAGACTAAAGGGTAATGAATAAAATTTTAAGCTCTGATTTTTCCATTTGAACAATTAAGAGAAAGACGTTGAAACCAAAATTTTAATTAAGATTACAGCATCCAATCTCTTTGTTGGAAAGTTGAGTTCTGCGACCTGTCAAATTTGAAGAATACTTAGGCAGCACGATTTAAAGGGCCATGTGCAGTCTTTCTAGTGACAGTGGTCCACCATTATTTTTAGAGTGACTTACTTCACTTAATTATTCCATTTGTTATGTAGCTCCAGTAAACATTCATGGACAGAGTCTTAAGATGACATTAGTAAAAACACTTAATATTTGTGCCTAACTAATTGTATTTGTTTCCGAAGAAGAACGTTGAAGATTCAGTATGTGTGTGCCCTGTAACCCTGACATAGCATGGCGGCATATCACTGGAACTGGCTTCTAACTCTGTGTGCGCTCATATGTATCATGCCCTAACGTCAGCCTTGTTGCCTCTGTGTGTCTTCCTTTGTGTTGTTCTTGCATTGTTTACAGCCCCCCAGCAAGTGTTCTGTGGCTATCCTAGAAAGGGCACATGAAGAAAGTTGGGAAATATTTTTAGATCACCAGGTTATGTTTCCTAGCTCTTATTTCCTAGACCTTGACCCAGAAACCTTGGCCCTGGTGGAGGGGAGCTGGTTATCATAAGTACTGCTAAGCAGTTTTTGCTTAGCACCCTAACCAAGCACACATCAGCACCTATGACTGTCGGCCACTGGAATTTTACCTGGTCTTCAGTGTAGAAACCGGACCGCTCAGATCCTCTTATTTCAGCAAGTAAAATTCTTTCACTTTCATATGACTTATATTGTCATATTTTAAAATTTGCATTTATGAAATTAGATACATAGACTCTGTAATCCTAAAGAGCTGTGGCCGCCTCCCTGACCCCACCCCCAATTCCCCATCTTCACCAATTTTCTTTTGAAAGCTTCCATTAACCATTTGGATGGATTCTTATGCAGTAATAATAAAGTAATTATTCTCTGATGGCCCTTGCCTGTCAGAACAGTCTGATTTTTTGTTGTTGTAGTTCTTCCTGGACATTTATACCTGACCACCACAATTGTTTGCTAGAGACCTTTGACTCCCCAAAATCTTAGGACTAAAACGTGCCCCTCCATATTCTGGATGCTAGCCTCTCCCTGTATGGCAGTTAATTCTTGTGTTTGTAAACTAAGATCGTGTTGCAATAGTAACTCCTTGACTAGCCTTTCCCTTCCCATTTCTATTTTCACAGCTCCCTGGTCTCTGTCAGCTAGCAGAGTCTTTGGTGGAAGAAAGACAGCCCAGCCCTTGCCATGCTTGGAAACTACAGCCATTTCTATATGAAAGGGGGGATTAATAGAAAGGAGAAATTCTCTCTTTCTAAAGAGCCAAAGTATTTCCTTATAGCATTCCCTGTTTCGCAGAATAATTGAATCCAAGTCTGTTTGCCTTGTTTGTACACATTGGAACCCACTCACTGCATGATCAAAGTGGACCCCTTTCTCCCACCCCCAACCCCTCAGAAGATTCAGCCGTCTTCTGTTTGGAGAATAAAGTGAAGTCGTTCTCAAAAACACAAAGCACAAGTCTGATGTAAAAAAAAAAAGGTTTCCTTTTATTACTCTGCCACTAGAGTGTTAAAGAGGGAGCAGTGGCATAGCAAATCCAGAGTGCTGGAAAACGGGACATATGCCTGTGTTTATTTTTTTAGAGTTTATTTTTATGCTTCCCTTTGAGTGCAGTAGACTGATAACCAGGGAATTCGTACTATTTAAGGCAAAACAAGAAGCCAGCTGTAAGAGGCCTTGATCTGAAGGAGTTCGAAAATTCTCCTTCAAGTCTTGTCAAGCTGGGGTTCCGACTTCATTACCTCACCTGGCTTTCATCTCCAAAATCTCTTCCGGGCAGAAGGTATATAGCCATACACAGGCATTGGTTGGCAATGCCAGGTATACTACAGTATAGTATATGGGGTATAGTAAAAGATACTAATTGAAATT